CGGACGTTTTGTGGAAACTGAGTTACACACCGTGTGGGCTTCCGTGTCCGGCTTCTTTCACTGAGCGTTCTGTTTTCAAGGTCCACCCGTGACGCAGCCTGCCGGGATGCACACCTTCTCGCGGCTGAATGAGATCCCACGATGCGGATGGACCCCATTTGTGGATTCTGTTGTTTTATTGTCACTGTGGCCGCCCTGCACCCTCCATCTTGCTGTGCCTCCTTCTCCCTGGTGGCCTCCTGCGCCAGCTGACCAGGGTCGGCCCCTTTCACAGACGAAGAAATCCAGGCTCATAGAGGTGCTGAGCTGCTGACTGCCCCGGCCTGCGGCTGGCAGATTACAAGTGTGAGGGCAGGGTGACGGTTTTCCTCCCGGCCTTGCAGTTCCGAGGTGGGGTCTGCCAGGACAACGCCCCTTGAGCCCTGGAGCCCCTCCTGTGCTCCTTACCTTCCTCTGCCTGCTGGCCAGTGGGCCAAACACTGGCTGGAGCGGGGCAGATGGACATGAGCCAGCTCGGATCTGTCTGGGTTGCCCACCCCCGGCCCCTGGGTCAGAGAAGGCCAAGATTTGGAAACGCCCCATTTGGAAGCACCGAGAACCCCATGGGGCTGGCCCGGTGGCGCAGCAGTTAAGTGCGCACGTTCCGCTTCGGTGGCCCGGGGTTCACCAGTTCAGATCCCGAGTGTGGACATGGCACCGCTTGGCATGCCATGCTGTGGTAGGCGTCCCACATATAAAGGAGAGGAAGATGGGCACGGATGTTAGCTCAGGGCCAGGCTTCCCCAGCAAAAAGAGGAGGATTGGCAGCAGATGTTAGCTCAGGGCTAATCTTCCTCAAAAAGAAAGAAAGAAAGAAAGAAGCACCGGGAACCCCAGCGCGCCCAGAATCGCAGGGCGCAGGCTGTGTTCCCCTCACACGACTGGAGACCTACAACTTAGGGAGGAAGTCCCAGCGACAGTGGGTCCCTCCTCTGCCTCGGGGCAAGTCTGATCTAGCCTGACGGGGACAGGAGGCCCAAGGGCATTTTGGTCTCTGTTACAATGGACAGGACATCGCCCCAACAAGGACCCTCCAGCCACCACGGTTCACATATCTGTTCCCTCAGAGAGTCTGGGGGTAGTGTGTGTGTGAGTGTGAGCTGCATGTGCATGTGTCACTGCATAGAGAGTGGGTGACAAGTGTGAGGGTGCGTGTGTGTGCACACACGCTGGCACAGAGCACTGGATTCTGAGACTGGAGGATGCACGGGAGCCTCCCATCAGTGGGATTTGCCCTCAGAACCTGAGGCCGGCGGCTGTGGTGCTGCCCCAGGTTGGCCGAGCACTTCATTTGAGTCTGTTCTCCTGCTTTGCCTTGGTGAGCATCACAGTAACCCTGGAAATGAAGTGTGGTGCTGCTCTTTGCAGGCTCAGAGAGGTAGAGCCACCCGCCCAAGGTCACACAGCTGCAGCGATCGAGTAGCACGGATGGGAGGGTACCATGGTCAATTTGCCCGTGAGCCTGGGCTCCAGTCCCTGGCTCTACCAGATCCATAATGACAGATGTGTGGGACTCACCAGGGACCCCAGGGCATCCCCACCCCGCGTTCCCAGGACCTAGCTCAGCTCCAGCTCTGTAGATGTCAGCCACGTGGACCGCCCGACACGTCCCATCCTGAACTGGCTGAGACCACTCGCCTGGGTGTCTCTCGGGAGCAGGTGGAACTGAGGGTGTGCGGGCTGTGTGTGCCCGGGGGCCTGCAGACACCGCTCCAGGGATGACCTCCACACCCCCTGTAACACGCTCACGCACACTCGTGCCCCCCGTCACACACGTGCATCACTGACTCGGGACTCTGCAGAATCTGTGGTTTCCTCCCAGGTCCGGCCTTGGACCCCATCCCTGCGATGCCCCTATGACAGCTGCTTCTTAGCCTCATATCTATTTTTGAATGCCAAGAGGGGGCTCCCTGGTCAGGAGGGAGTATTTTTATGGTAAAAAATGAGCCTCTTTGCATCAGCTCCAGGAGGGGTGGGAGCCGTCACCGCGGGTTGCCTGGGCAGACTGATGAAAATTCTGCTTATGAAGTCGCTGCTCCCCCATTAATTAGGGGGGAGGGGGGCGCTCCGAAGTGCAGCGCACCTCGCCCACGGCCAAAAGCTTGTCAACATTTCCCACGAAGAATGAAAATGTAAATAACTTTCAGATTATTCAATGTCACCAAGGTATGGAAAAAGGTCGCCATGCTGGGTGTCATTTATCTCGTTGCGGATTTAAAGAGCTTTTTTCTATTAAATTTCTTAAAATTAATGTTTTATGTTGCTCAGAGTAATTTGAACAATTATGGGCTTAAAGAATTGATCATTACAGCCCCTGGGATTCAGCGCTCCAGACGGACTCCTTTGAAAACCCACTGATTTATCGCAGAGCTGCTCAGCCAGGCCAGCCCCTGGGGTCTGCACCCCGGCCCCTCCCAGCACGTCTGGGGGGCCAGCGCCCAAGAGAAACCACAGGTTCTGCCATCAGATGGGGACAAGGGGGCCGAGGGGAGGGGAGTGGGTGTGTCCCAAAGAGGAGGCTCCTGTGTACTCATTCAAATTTTACATTTAAAAGCAAAGAGCTCCTTTATTGTATTGGTTGGAATTATTTGTACTATTCAGGTATTTACATTTGATAATATAATATAACCTCTGAGTTTAAAAGTTAACAAGCTCTACTGTCCCCAAATGTTAACAAGCCCAAGTGTCTTCCACATCGCGCCAATGCTCCCCCCCGCCGGAGCCGGGCGCCCCTCCTGCTCACCCCCAGGGCGTCCCAAGTGCGGGCCGGGGTCCTGGGCAGGAGGCGGTGCTGCCGGCTTCCTGCCCCAACAGGAGAAGGCACGAGCTCCCGCCCCGGTTCTCCGCGCCCACCGGCTTCCCTGCGCTCTTCCCCTCTTGGTTTCATCGCGGGCATTGCCAGGCGCTCAGGACTCGGCCCCGGGCTCGGGCGTCGGGCGGGATCCACAGAGACGACCCTCTCCCACTGTGCCCGGTCCGAGGCCCCCAGATCCCAGGCCGTGTGCCGGACCTCAGACTTGGAGCTGGGAGCCCTCCCGCCTGGTTCCGTGGGGAGACGGGGCTCCGGGGACGCGCATTCTGGGCTGAAACCCACACGCGCCTCACGCTCCGCCCGCTAACGGGGTTCACCGTGGGAAGGCAGTCGTTGTCTCCCGGTGACCCCGGCAGACGGGGCCGGAATGATGAGGCAGCGGCCTCCTCCTTCCCTTCGCCTGCAGACGCCGGCAGCCCGAGGTCGTCCCCGCCTGAGGTCTGCCCGCCCACCTCCTCCCCGGCGGGCTCCGAGTTCCCTGGTGCACGTGCGCCGGCTGAGCGGGACCCCAGGAGGCGGAGCCGGGGGTCCGCCCGGGTGCGCGCGGATCTGGATAATGCAGAGCGGAGCGCTCCGCCCATATGGGAAACTGAGGCCAGCAGTCAGAGTAACCGGGGGTCTGACCCAGCTGAGCCTCCATCCACCAGGCCCGGCCGGTCACGCCGCTCGCCAGGCGGGAGGTTGGGCCCGGGACTCGCGCGGCTCGGACACTGCCCGCCCCTCCGGCCTCTCGCGGCCGCGACTCGGGTGATGGAAGCGCCGCCAGCTGGAGCGAGCGCGGGGAGGGAGCGGGGGGACTGCAAACAGGCGGAGGGCCCCGCGGGGACACTTAGCACTTTATTAACCTGTCAGCGCCTAAAAGGTCCCGGGCGGCCTGGGGGAGGGGCTGGAGGCTGGGGGCGCGACTTGAGGATTTATACGCCCTACCGAGGGCTGCTGGCCCAGATAGCGCCTGCCCGGCGGCGGCCACCGCTCTGCGCGCCGGGGGCTCCCTTTGCCTGGGAGAAAGAGTCCAAAGTCGTCCCCCCGGGAACCCACCCCACCTGCAGCTGCCTGTCCCAGACCTGAGAGCATCACCACCACCCCCTACCCCGCCAGCCTAGGACACTTTGCTGCCACAGCTTTGCTCACAACAGTCGCTGTCCCCAGTATGCCATCCCCACGTCCACTCTGCTCAAGGGCAGTCCCTTCTCCCAGCCTGGCATCTTCTCCCAGGGCCTCCACATCGGGGAGGAGGCCTGTGGCTGGCGTCCCACGCCCAGGGCCTGCCCCAAGCACCCCTGACCGCTAGACGCCAAGAGGACACGCGGGCCTGGGGGCTGCTGGCGACAATCCTCCTGGGAGGGCCCCGTCCTGGGGAGGGGTCTGTGGGGGGCCTGGGCTGTCCCCGCAGGGCAGGAGATGCTGGGGGCGACTTGACCAAGTCCCGTGGGCTGCCTGGCTGAGGGGGCATCTGGGGAGTGCCCCCTCCTCCTTCTCTGCCCTATCCCCTATCCCCTGCTCTGATCTGGCGCCAGCTCCTGTGTCCTCTGGACTGGGGCCTCTTTCCCACCACCTTGGCACCCCTCTGTCCAGTGGGGGGCATACCAACAGCCAGGCTGCTGCTCTCTAAAAGCACGCACTGCCGGGTAGGGGGCCCCACGTGCATTGACTCTTCCTACAGCTCCCTTTCGAGGGGACCATCACCACTGTCTCTCCTCCACAGGCGGACAGTGGGGCTCAGAGGGGAAGGGTCATTTGCCCAGGGTCACACAAGTTAGCAGATGGCTGAGACTGGAATCCAAGCTGGAGGGACCCCATGACCAAGTGCCATGACTCTCCTGACCAGCTGACGTCAGCACCCCTCCCCTTGCTGGTGCCAGCTCCCAGCTGTGAGCAGTTGTGGTCCTGTTCCCTGGCCGCCCTGCCCCTCCCCTCCGTCACAAATGGACGGTCTGTTCTCCCAAGTCTCCTTCGAGTGCTCAGAAGTTTGGCTGAGACCCAGGGACAAAGAAGCCCCAATGCACAGGTGTCATCCCTGGCCAGGAGCCAGCAGCCACTCCAACAGACCCCGGCTTTCAAAGAACTGTCCCCCACCCCAACGCCCCCCTCTGCCTGCACCCCCCAGCCTCACTAAAGACATGGGCCTTCCAATGACTGTAACTGACAAATTTATTGAAATCTTGGAAAGAGCTGATGGTCAGAGAATAAATAAAAGACACGGGACGTTCACAGAACCAACAGGTAGCTTGGGGTGCAGGTTTGCGGAGACCACCTGGAATCATGGGCGGCCGGCCTTCGCGTCTGGGGAGGCAGCAGGGAAGCATCTGGGCGAGGAGGCCTGGCGGCTCAGAGGAGCCCGGCCCAGCCCCCTCCAGCGGGACCTCCAGTCCTCAGGCGGTTAGAGCCAGCTCGGAGCGGGAGGGCCCAAGGCTGTTTGGCAACGGAAATGGGAAATCGGTGGGCTGGGCGTAGCCTGGACGCCGGAGGGCCGGGGGGAGGCTGCGACTGGGGGGAGGGGATGAAAACTTAGTCTGGGTTGAGAGGAGCTCCCGATGGGCTGAAAGAGTTGATGGTGGGGAGGAAGGGCCCCAGGAAGTCCGGTCTCCCGCACCAGGTAGTTCAGTTCAGAGGAACAGAAAGGTCCAGAGCCAGCTGCCCCAGGAAAGAGGGGTGAGGAGGCTCCTGGGGAAGCTTGGGGTGGTGGCAGGGAGGCCCCAGAGGAACCAGGAAGGACACAGGCATGGCTCCCGCACTGCCACCTCCCTCCTGGACAGACAAGGCCCGTCTGTGACCCAAAGTAGGGGGCGAAGGGGCTACACAACTCAGACATACGGAACCTGGGAAATGAAAGCACAATGAGCGTATTTTTTAATTTTAGAAATTAAAGCGTCTTCCAGCCTGGAGGCTGTACGGATCTGGGCTGGCGAGAGGCCCCGGGCAGAGGTCTGGCCTAGGCAGGGTGACATTTCACGTCTAGAAACAGCAGCAAGCGCTCAGTTAACCGGTCGACAAAGGGAGCAATCTGCTTACAAAACAAGGCTTGCTGGGCAGCCACCAGCGGGCCGCCTGTGTCCCCAGACCAGCGGTCGCAGACAGGAGCCAAGAGAGTCCATCTGCCCCAAGGGAGGGGGCCGCGGGGCTGGGTGCTCCACAGAAAGGAGCCCTCCCTTGACGTCCTCATGCTGTCCCCCGCCAGTGGCACCTGCTTCCCGCTGAGGTCCGGGGCTTCGGGAAAGGAAGAGAGCACAGCTCCCGGCCGCCCAGCCAGGGGCAGCATCGCTGCCTACGCCCCTCATGTCCGGTGCTCGGTGGAGCTGGGGCCTTGGTCAGAACTGAGCGTGGTCCACCTCGTCCAGCCAGGAGGCGGGGCTGGCAGGGAAGTCGGGGTAGCCCCCGCTGCTCCCTGTGGACAGGTCAGAGCTGGGTCCGTTCCCTGCCAGCACCCTCATGGGCGGGGGCCCACTCGGGGCTCCCGTGGGCACAAGGCCCAAGCTGGCATCTGGGTACACCAAGCTGGAGAGGAGGGGCTGGGGGCCAGGAAGGCTCTGCAGGGCAGCCGGGGAGGGGGGGACGCCGTAGGGGCTGCCGGGGCGCAGCTCCCGATACTGCTCCGGGCCGGCCAAGCCCCCGTGCTCCAGCGGGAAGCTGCCTGGGGCTCCCGTGGGACGGCCCAAGGCGGGGGTGGGCTCCCCCAGGCTGCCGTAGAGGCCGTTGGCAGGGCCCATTTCGGCCATGGAGGGTTCTTCTGCAATGGAAGCAGAGGGTGCTGCTCAGTGCCTGCCCCCCTCCACCTGGGCCCCCCGGGCCCCTCCTGCAGGGGTGACCTGCCCCACATCACACAACAGGTCAGCCCAGTCGCTTCTGCTCTTAGAATGGACAGCTGCCTTCTGTCCCTACCCTCCACCTGGTGTTCAGCTCAGTCCTGCTGGGTGTCTAAGGCATGATGGGTGTAGTCCAGTCAGGGTGATGGTTCCAGGACCCCCTCCAAGGCTGCCCTGGGAGGGGTGGTGCAGATGCCCCACCCCCATTCTGCAGAGGAGTGAACTGAGGCTCAGGGAGGCTGGGTGAATAGTCTAAGATCACAATGCAGCCAGAAGGAACCTCTCGTACAAACTCTCTGAGGATGGGCATTAAGGGGTGGGGGTGAGGTCTCCCCAACATGGAGAATGAGGTAACGGATCCTCAGAGGAGGATGGACCCCCCCCCCCCAACTGCAAGCAGCCAGGAATTTTTAATCACTTAGTCCAAAATCGTGCTGCCCACTTTCCTAAAAATCATGGCTAGGGCGGGAAGCCAGAGAGATGGTCTGGACCCCCAACCATGAGAAAGCCTGCCGAGGGACAGGCTGGGTCACAGGGGAATCCAGCCCACACAGGGGAAGAGCAGTGGTCCTAAGTGGCTGACCCACTGGGCTTGGGATGGGGGACCAGGATCCATAAACGAGTTTTTTAAAAATAAGCCTAAAGAGGACACTGACTAGGAAATTTAGATTTCAGGCTCCCTGCAAGCAACCAGTCCAACGTCCTTCCTGACCCCGGGGCCACGCGGGAGTGCAGCGAGGTGTGCCAGGCGCCGTACCCGTGAAGGAGACCTCGGCGTCGCTGTCCTGCCCCTCCTCCTGAATGCTGTCCTTGTCTGACTTGGAGCCGCCGCGGGCGCGCTTCATGCTGCGGAAATACTGGCCCCAGCGCTGCCGGCCCGCGTCCTTCTTGAGCCTCTTTTCCTTGGCGCGGCGGTTCTGGAACCACACCTGGGGGCGGGGGCGGGTGAGTGGCCGCAGGGCGCGCGGGGGCGGGCAGGGTGGCCGCGGGCGCGGGGCGCTGACCTGCACGACGCGCATGTCCAGGCCGGTCTCGGAGGAGAGCTGCTCGCGCACGTGGCGCGCCGGCTTCGGCGACGTGTTGTAGGCGCTCTTGAGCGTCTCCAGCTGCTTGGCCGTGATGGTCGTGCGCGGCCGCTTGGCCGTGGCCTCGGCCTCTGCACCGCGGGGGAGGGTGAGGCTGGGCCTGCTCCTCTGACCGCCCAGAGGTCCCCGCCCCGCCCAGCCCTGGGCCCAGAGACCTCGGGGGCCCCAAATACCGCCCCGCCCAATTACCGACCGCGCCGCGGGGGTCAGGGGGCCTCGCGGGCCGCGCGGGCGCTGGGATCAATGGAGAAAGCCGGGTGCGGGCGTCGGGGCCTGCGGAGGGGCGGCTCGGCTGCGGCCTTCATTAGAGACCCGCGCGCGGCCCATCTTCGCCGCTCCCCCTCCGCCCCCTCCCCCTGGGTGGGTTCCTCTTTGTTCTAAGGGGGTAGATAGGGCCAGATCTCCACGGTAAGGATTTAGGGTGATAATTCAAACCGGGGGTGACAATCCACACAATTCGACCAATCTCTGTGCGCTCCTGAGTGAGGCGGCCGCTAAGACCCCAGACCCGGGCTAACCCAGGGCCGGTCTGTTAATTGACCCCACCCGGCTCCAGTGCGGGCCTGGGGGTGGCGGTACCCCCACCGCCCCAGCCTGGAGGGAAGGCGCTTAAATTCGCGGCCCTCAGGGAGCGCTTCGAGGCGGGCGCTGGGGGTGAGATCCCGCCGCGCCCCGACTGGGCCTGGCCTCAGCCCTGTCTTGCAGAGGAGGAGGGGGGCCTGCCGAGACCGTCGCCCGCTCCCGCTGACCTCGCTGCTTGGCCGTCTCGTAGTCCGCCTTGCACACTAGCCGGCTGTCCTCCATGAGGTAGAACTCGTCGCCCGTGGCCAGCTGCCGCTTGCACACGACGCAGGCGAAGCAGTGCAGGTGGTACACGAAGTCCTGGGCGCGCCGCACCACCTGCGTGGGCGGGATGCCCAGCTGGCACGCGGCGCACTTGGTCCCGAAGCGCCTGCGGGACGCACAGGGCGCGGCTCAGAGCGGCTCGGGCTGCTCCTTCGCCCCGAGCGGGTCGGAGAGCGGCAGCACGGCGCGGCGCGGCGCAGGGCCGTTCCGGGAGGAGGCTCGCCCCGGCCCTGCCCCTGGCACCACCCCCCCCCCCCCCCCCCCCCCCCCGCAGCCCCGGCAGAGCCGCACAGACTACGGAGGGGGTGCCCAGAGGCCCTGGAGAGCACAGCCGCCCACGGTGCTCGGTCTGGAAGGTGATTTTTTTAGACCCCGGAGGCCTGTACTCAGAAGGCGCCCCTTCCCCAGATTTAAGGAGAAAAACAAGACCGAAATTAAGAGGGAGTAAGTCCAATAGAGTTCTACAAACTTAGGGTTGTCTTTTTTAACGATTGCTTCCGTAGTTTACAAAATTAATTACTTAAAAAAATTTGCTGATGTGCCAGCCCGGCTCAGCTGCCCACGGAAAAGCCCTAGGGTGCTCGGCCAGGTGACAGCAGGGGATCTGGAGATGCAGGCTTCAGGGCTCTGGACTTGATTATTGTGGGGGGTCGGGGAAGTTCTGTGGGGTGGCCCACTCCCGGCCTCCTGTCCACAGGGCAGCCTGTGCCGCTGCCCGCCCGCCTGCCCGCCCTCCCAGAGAGGCGCAGCCGGCTCACTTGAAGAAGTCGTCCTTGCAGTAGACGCTCTCCCCGCGGCTGAAGCAGCGCTCGGCCAGCGGTGTGTGACAGTCGCTGCATTTGAGACACTTGCTGTGCCAGTGGCGGTCCAGAGCCTTGAGGATGAAGCGGTCCAGGATGTGCTGGTCGCAGCCGGCACACAGTGGGATCTCTGTAGGCAGAGGAGTCGCTGCGGTCACAGGCACCGCGCAGAGTGGGAGGCATCGAAGTCACCTTCCCACCTCAGCCGCCAGGACCCAGGGCTGCCGAGGGAGACCCCTTCCCTGCACACCCTCTTCCCCAGCGGGTTTGAGCGGCTGCCTGGCTCCCAGGGCTGGGAGTGCTTGGCGCCGAAGTCCGCAGCCCAGCCCGCAGCTAAAATTCAGGAAAACTGAAAACAGATCTAGAAATGTTCCTGCGAGCAGGAAGGTGCCCAGGCCATTCCATTAGGCCAGATACCGTCAACCGCAAAATGTTTCCAGCATGCATGAAAGGCGCACATCGAGCTCAGACGGAAACTCCTCCCCAGGGGCTCTCTCAGAGACTGGGCTGGAAAACGGGGTCCTTACCATTACCTGGAGGCCGGGCACAGGTGTCCTGGGGCACCCACCAGCCAATCGCCTTTGTTACTTTGCACAATTAAGCATCACAGCGGCTAAAGACTCCTTGTGAGTGGCTGCCCAGCCTCGTGGCCCTGTCTGCAGGCCACCGAGGTAAAAACCGATGCCCTGTCCATCTTTGGGTGGCCTCGGGGCACTTGTGAGGGACCGGACAAATGGATCCGCTGTCCTCACACTCAAGCGTGGGTGCCCAAACACACAGTAGGTGTTTGCCCTCCCCACAATGTCATAGTTTCTCCAACATGCGGGCTCTGCTCCCCTGGGACTGCACGTCTTTTGGGGACCAGGCGGGGGAAGTACAAGGATGGCCTACGGGGTCCATGGGCTTTGTGGGGTGCTCTTGGGTGAGGACTCCCTGTTAATTTAGAAAAGGTCTCCGGGGGAGGAGAGACCTGCAGTGGGAGCTGGAACCTACGCAAACATTCCTCCCACCCCAGCGTGCGCACCTCACTGGCGCGGGACCCCTCCGGCGCCAGGCCGGCCCCGCAGTGGGCGGGAGGACAGGAGAAGGACCTCCTTCGGCCCCAGACAGAGAGAACGGGATTGACTTCCCTCTCGCAGAAGCGGGAAACCCGCGAAGGACGCGCGGTCCCGCATCAGGCAAAACCGCGGCCCCGGGTTCGGAGCGTGGGGATCCGCCGCGCGCCCTGGGCCCCCATCGCGGGCGCGACGGCAGGTTGGCGAGGACACCGGGCACAGAGCTGGTGGCTGGACAGGCCCCCGCGCGCGGATTCAGCACCGAGGCCCGGACAGCGCCCCGGCCGTGCTGCCCGCGGAGCCCGCGTCGGGCAAAAGCCGCTCCCGCCGCGCCCCTCGCGTTCCCCGCGCAGCCCTGGCGACGCGGGCCTTACGCTGCATGGCGACTCCGGCCTCGGCGGGTCTCCTGCCCTCGGCGCCGGCGGGGCCCGCAGAGCCTCGCGCCCGCCCGCCCGCCCGTCCGGGCCAGCTCTCCTGAGCCGTGGCGCTCCGAGCCCGCCTCCCTCCCACACTCTCCCTCCGCCCTCCCACCCTTTCCTCCCAGGAGCCGTCGGAAAATAAATAAATAAATAGGGGACCGATGAGACCCCACAGCCTGGAGGTAACCCCTTTCCCACCTGCTCCCTCCCTACTCCTCCCCATCCCTCCAGGGCCGCCTCTGTATCCATCCTGCCAGCCCGGAAGCCCGGGGAAAAAGGTCCCAGTTCTCCGGGAGCCAAAGCGCTAGGGGCGAGACTGGTGCCACCAGGAAGTTGGGGGCTTTCCTGTAGAAGAGTGCTGAGGATCGCCCCGGAGCAGGCCAATAGAGCAGGTGCGTGAGGGCGCAGACACCAAGGCTGCAACTGGGGGCGATCTACAGCCAGGGTCCGGCTCCACCCTGGCCCTTGCATCACACTCTCTTCCTCTGGAAAGTGCGGTGGGTCTGGGTGGGGGCTGCCCTCTTGGGGGTCCCTCCTGCCCAGTGGTCACTGGGCCCCATGGTTGCTCTCTGCACATTCTCCCGATCAGGGAGAGGACTTCCTACACTGGTCCTGGGGCCCCGAGGGCTCCCCGGCCTGAGCCGTGCAGCGCCAGGACCACACAGCCGACAGCTCAGCTCCAGGGGCCCCGACGCAAACTCGCTGCTAGGGCGCCCAGGCGGGGACGTGCTGGGGCCCCCGCACCCACTCCCGCCCGGGTCCCCTCGCTCCTGACGCCTCCGTGGCCAGGCCCGGAAAGGAGCGAGGACCTCGGGGTCTCCCCGTGGTCCGCCCTCCCTAGGGCAGCCGCTCGGCGCGGGCACCCACCTCGGCGCAGGTCCTCCCTCCGCGCCAGCAGCGCCAGCAGGAGGTCGCCGCCCGCCGACTCCCGGCCCGGGCCCAGCTCCCCGCGCGCCTCCATGGGTCCCGCCGCCCGGCGCCGCCGCTCTCCGACCCCAAATTTTCCCGGGGCCCGACGAGGCCACGGCCGCAGTGGCCCCAGGCCGGCGTCCGAGCGACTCCCGGAGCTGCTGGGCGCTGAGCCCACGGGCCGCCCTGGGGCCCGGAGCCTCCGGCCGCGCGGAGGGCGGAGCGGCCTGGGGGCGGGGCCGCGGCGCGGGGCGGGGCCGGGGGTCGCTGAGACGCGCCGGGGGCGTCCGCCGGCTCTGCGCGCCTTTGCGCCGGGACCTGCGGCGCCCAGACGCCACCCCGAGTGCTGGCCCGAGGGCGGGGACCGGCAGGGGAGGAGCCGGGCCAGGGCTGCTCGTGGGTGCTGGCCTGGGGCCTGCAGCTTCCTGCCCCCGCGCCGGCCGCGGGCTGAGGCCTGGGCTCGGGCGTGCACGCGCGGCGAGGCTGATGGTCCTGGGAGGAGGGTCCGGGAGGGAGCCGGGTCCTACCGCCGCTGAGGCTCCGACTCGAGAGAGCCTGAGCTGGGAAGCTTGGTGACAACGTCTAGTCGGCACGAACGCGACCCGAAACCCCGAGAGGGTGAGTGTGGCGCCCAAGGGCTCACAGTGAAGCCACCAGGCGCCGGATGAGACCTCAGACCTCCCGGCTCTGGCCAGCTTCTGGGCACCTCTTGGAATTGCAGCCCCGAGTGGGAGCAGGGAAGAAGGGCGATTCTCAGGAGGGAAACCCAGTGTCCCGGGCCTGGACACGCGGCTGAGACTCCAGGTCAGGAGGGACGCCAGAGCTGGGAAAGCCAGGGATCCACCTTCACTTCCCTCCACCCCTCAGCACCCTGCCTTGCACAGAACGCAGGCCCTATGCCTGATTTTCCAACATCCTGCCCCCAATCCAAACAGGTGAGCCTGCAGGAACGCACTCATCCTTACCTGTAGAGATGCACCTATCCAGGGCAGCTGCTCCTGCCCAGAGGCCGGCACCAGACCCCCCGCTGCCACCCACAATCAGGACACAGCAGTATGCCCCTTGCAGGGAGCAGTATGACGAGGGCAGGGGCCCCAGCAAGTGTTGGGAGTCCAGCAAGTTGATGCCATCCTCCAGGTCTCTCCACCTGGGAGCCCACAGCAGTGTCCCCATTCACCCTGCCTCCTTCTCCTGGCCTCCAGTGGCCTGGTCAGCATGCTTTAACATGGAGGCCTGCCTGGAAGGACCCGAGCAGGAAGGGCACAGCTGCCTCCCAGCTCCCAGCAGAACTGGGGTCTCATAGTTGTGAGCAAAGGCCCATGAGCCTCCATGCCCTTTCCCTTGGCCCCACACTTCTACCCAGAAGCACAGGGAAGGGCACACGAGCCAGGCAGCCGAGTGGTGCTGGGTGTGCTGGGCTGTCAGCCGTTGAGTGTCAGCTGCTGCAGAGGCCTGCCTGAGAGGGGCCATGTATGGCTGGACTGGGGAAGGGGCGGGCGGGCAGCCAGTCAAGGAGGTGGCGGCCCCACGCGCTGGGCATCTGGCAGGTCCGCCAACAATGCCTCCATTATTTCCCAACGTCGGTGGCGATCGAGAGGCCCTTGGGGAGGGCAGTTCAGGCGGGAGACCTGGCACAGGGGTCCCGGTGCTGTGCTGCTGTGCTGCTGTGCTGCTGGGGCAGGTCTGGGCTGGGCTGTGTTTGGGAGCTGAGGGGCGTGGGGCCTCTGGAGGAACTTAGTGCAATTTGCTCTGCTCCATCCCATTCCCCTCAGCAGTGTCTGCAAGACCCCTTCTGTTCTTGGGCACTCCAGCAACTCGGCCTCCCGAACCATCCAGGGCCCTCCGCCCTCCGTGGGGATCTGCCGGACTCGCTTCCCTCGCCCCTGTTTCCAGCTCCTACGTCCTCCTGCCCGCAGTCTCTCTGCACTGTTCCCCTCTCTGGCGTGCGTGCGCTGTTCCCCTTCCTTCCCCTGCCCACTCTGCCACCTTGCCGTTCCTCCCCGCAGGGCCCACCTTCCCGGGCTGGGGGCCACAGGGTACCAGAACTCTTACCCCGAGTTCCCCGGAAGGTGCAGACGGCCGCTGCCGCCGGGGCCCCGGGCCCATCTCGGTCGCGCTGCAGCTCCATTTCCAGCAGCATCGCGGCCGTCGGGCCGGGGCCGGGGCCAGGGCTCGGACTGAGTTTCGCAGGGCGCTCCTCCCTTCTCTGCGACCCCGGGGGAGAGCTCGCAGCTCCTCGAGGCCCGGGGGCGCTGGAGCCGCCGCGTCCCTGTGCACCGCGCCGCCAGACTCGGAGCGGCTGGGCCCGGCGCTGTCCGCGGTGCTGAAAGAGGCGCGGCTCCCCACCTCCTCCGACCCTAACCGCCGCCCTCTGTTCCCTCAGCTTGCCCGCCCACCTCCCCAGGTTCCGCGTCCCTCCGCCCGCCTCCTCACCTCTCCCCCCCACCCCCGCCCCCTTGCCAGGGCCGGCGAGTCCGGCGCAGCTCCTCCCTGAGCTCCAGGCCGTTGGAAGGTGTGGGGATTCGCTGCAAGCGGGTGCTCCACCCTGCCGCTCCTGCTCCCAGTATTCTCAAAGGGAGTCCAGGCCACGGGCCCAGGGCAGCCCCTCTGGCCCCACTGGCCTTCAACCCAGGTCCCCACCGAGGCCTTGGCTTCAGGTGCAGTTCCGAGGCATTCAACTGTTGCTGCTGGCCAGGGGAACTTTCTGCACTCAACCTCCCCAACACTCAACCTCCCCCAGATCTCAGGCCACAGCCCCACCCCCAGCCCCCAGGGCAGCCAGGAGGAAGGGCACCTGGGGCATCCCCAACAGAAACTACTCAGAAGGACTCAAGGGCCGTGAGCTCCAAGACCCTGAGCCTGTAATGGGTTACGGGATGGGGGGTCTACACGAATACCACTACTACACACAGACCCGGGCTGGTGGGCGGGTTACCCATTGGTCACTCAGTGCCCTGCTGGGGTGGCAGACCAGGGGCTGCCCTGAGGGAGGGGCCCGGGCAAAGCCAGGGAAGGGGTAACCTATCAGCCTTGGCACAGCCCAGCTGCGAAGGTGAATCCACAGAAACCACATACCCAACTACTAGAGACCTTCCCACCACAGAACAAAAGGTGTGTGTGGGGGAGGGGGCGGCAGGAGAAGAAATCCAAAGAGTTCAGAATGTGAGCCGCAAACAGGTGTCAGGGCAAAGGCGGACAGCGACGCCGGGGCGCTCAGGCCGGGGCAGCCGGGCAGCCTAGGAAAGCGGCTGTCCGGAACTGGGTGGGCCGGCGCTCTCTTCACCTGGGGGTCCTCAGAGGTCCCCTTTCACAGGGCACCTCCAGTGCAGTTCCTGTGCACCCGTCACCACTCTCGGTCCATTAAGCGCTCTCGGAAATGAAGGGTGCTGTCCTGGCACCGGCTCTCATCCACATCAGCCCCCAGAAGCTAATCTGTAATCCATTTCCCATCTTTCACCTTCCATCTGAGCCCTGGGTCATCTCCAGAAAGCCTCGGTTTAATATAAGAAATTCTAAAACTTCAGGTGTCCAGTCCATAAACTCTACAAGGGAAAGAAGCCCCCGTCTGCAGCCCCACCCCGATGCCCGGACCACCGCTGGGGAGCTAGTTCCCACATCAAGAGCACCACAATTTTTTCAAATGTCAGATTTCTTTATTTTTAAAATGTGTACATTATAGTTTACTTAAATACAAAATGTTCACTTTCCTTGCAGGTAAGAAATTTCACTGACGTTACCATGTCAATTAGCTTCTTTTTAATCAAAATCCTTCCGTTAAAAATAAATACACATTTAAATTACCGAACTATTTATTCATTAGTCTCACTACTTACAACTTTAGAAAACAGATCTTAAACCTCGCCTAAAGGGAGAGTCCACTCCTGAGCAGGCCACGGGAGGTGTGCAAAACTGCTCACACCTGCACATGAGACACACCTCCTGCGGCCACCTTGGCACACCCCTCCCTGACGGCTCGTGGTCTGCTGAGAAGCCTGCCCCTCCGGAGGGGTAAACTGGTCCCTCAAACAGTGGTGACCCTCCCTTGGCAGCACCGCGAGGAACCCTGCAAGCCGACACTGCCTTCCCCAGGGGCCCGGGAAGGGTCACCACTCACAATGGCGTCCGACACACCGTCCGGTTCACACCACTGAGAGAAACTTACTTTAGGGGAGAAAAGACATTTGATGCAAAGCAGACAGCAGTTTAGTTAACGGTTCTCCGTATTTCCCTTTGGATTCTGTGTGTAAATCTGCTCAGTTTTCAAGTTGAAAGGAAACGATATCGTGTCTTCAATAACCTAGGCCTGCAGCTAGCTATGAGGACAGGCTCATGGGTTTTAAAACACAGAGGCTCCTGGGAGTTAAAAAAAGTGTCAAACAGGAAGAAACGTCCCCTCTTGGGGCAGAGCAGTGAGGCAGCAGCTGGGGTGGTTTCCTGGCTGGAGGCCGCAGACCACGCCGCCCAGCAGGCTCCCACCTGCTCCCCAAGAAGGTGCCGGTGCCAGCTGTTCAGGAGATCAGCTGTGCGTTTCCCCAGCTGCAATAATATCACAGTGGTCTTAGAAATACCCCACATGATCAACTCGGTTAGTAAACACACAAGTGTAAGATGGGCAAAGCGGAAGAGACCACTTACAACCATCACAGTGACACACGCGACACATGCACACCTGAGCCTGTGCGACAAACGACGGCCGTGAAGGAGCTCACGGAAAGGGTCCCAGGCACCCCTTGTTTTGTTTTGCTTACATCTTCAGAGGCAAACGTACCTCTGAATGTTTTGGGTTTTAGAAATAATGTGTTGAAATCATTAAATGGTAAAAACTTCATCACCAAAGCCTGGAGGTCCGGGGCCCTGTGCCAGGAGCCTCCGTAAAACAGCTTTAGGCAAATGAAGTTTGGCCTTAAAGGCGCCAGTGAGACCACCGGGCACCCCTCCAGGCTTTACCGGCTCAGAGCCCTGGTTCTTCACTCTGTTCCACTAGAGGTCAGGACCTGCAGGTGCTGGACGAAGGGGTCCTGTAGAGAGCCCCCTGGGGACTCCGCCTCCAAAAGAAGAGACCACCCTCCACCCCTCGCAGGATGAGCTCCGATCTCAGGTGCACAGCAGGCCTCTGAGGACAGGAAGATGGCGGTGGCCCTTGTTCACTTCTCTCTCTTGTCACCAGACCTACAAACAAAGGGTGCCACTGCCCGTCCCTTCCAAGCACCACGTCTACTCCACAAGGCCTCTGGAGTTATTCTCGAAATGCAGCAAAGCCACAAATGCATCGGCTCCTCCTTCCCCTTCACACTCTACCTCCGCGTCTGGAGAGAGAGGCCTGCAAGGCACGGGGACCCCGAGTGCCTCCCCTGCTCAGCTCCGACGGCCTCGAGCTTCAGCAGAAACAACCAAGCAGCCGAGCAGCACACGCGACCCACTGAGGACCAGACTGGCTGGAGGAGCAGCTGGGGGGGGGGGGGAGGGGGCGGGGGCAGTGGCGTCTGCTCCGGTTTCTGCTCCAGCCCTGCGCTGGGTCTGCAGCCGTGTGAATCGCCCAGTGGCCTCCCGGGGGGAAGGGCTTGGTTCTTCTCCAAATCCCAGAACAAGGCCTTGCAACGCAAGACGTGCAGTCTAGTAAACTCGAGATGAAAGCGGGTGGGAAAGAATTCTGTTCATTTGGCCTGGACTCCCCACTCCTGCTTTTAAACCTAGAAGAATAAAAATATAGAAGTCTTTCTGCTATAAGATCTGTGAAAAGCGTCCACTGGGTGCACCAGGAATGCAACAGCCCCAGCACACACACCGGCTCGCCCCGTGCGGGGAGAGTGTTTGTAAAAGGAGGACTTGAAGCTGAAGGTGCCACATGCTGTGACCCAGCCAGGTCCACCATGTTTATAGAACCCCTGGCCTTGAGGAGTAAAGCCACGGGCGGCAGGGTGGGGGCTGTTTCCCGGAGGCGCTTCTGTGGTCTTGCCAGCTCTACACGGACGGGTGGCGATGCCTGACTTTCCACCGCTTGGACCGCACTCGGAAGAAAAAGTACATCACCATCAGAAACAGGGACGAGGCCACGTAGAGCACGACGCAGAGGCTCATGTCCAGGCTGGAGAAGCCCATCCCGAGAAAGGGTGCGGCCGCCCCCGCCTCCCTGCGGCCCACGGCCCCTCTCAGACTCTCGAGTTTCAGGCTGAGCGCTCGGTGCGAGCCCTCTAACCGGCGAGGTCTGGGAGGCAGCACGCTGGGCGGACGGAGACTCTCGGCACCTTGGGCTCCACGAGGCTTCTCTGGGGGATTGCGGCCCCTCTCCCCATCCTGGCCCTCGGCGGGGGCGCCTCCTTCGCTGGCGTCTCCCAGGTCCGCGGAGTAGGTGTCTACCAGGTTGCTGCTGCCATAGTGCCCCTTCAAGAACAGGAGCACCTGGCCTTCGTTCCAGCTGTCCAGGCCCTTAATCTCCTCGTGGCAGGCCGGGCAGAGGTCCGGAGTGGGCCAAGGAACCTTAGGAAACTTGGGATCCTCACTCAGATGGCCTGGGAGGAAGAGGGAGAGCAACACGAAGAGGCCTTTCAGTGACCCCACAGCCCACCCAGGGTGGACGCACTGCAGCGCCCGCATGGCTCCTACCAGTTTCCTGCCTGCCTACCACCTGTCCCCTCCACCCCCCAATGTGACCTCTCACGGGGTCCAGACGACGCCCTGCTCCCCTCACTCCCACCTTTCCTACACAGCTGCCAGCCCTTTTCCCTACAGCCCACCACATAAACGTCGTGTCTTCCCTTCCACCTGTGGCGGGTTCCTGTGCCACAGCAAAGGAAGTGTGCACACTCGGACACCGCCACTCACCTGGCCAAAGCCTGCTCCAATCCGCCCAGTTACTTTGCTCCCAAAATGGGCCGAGCCAGGTTCTCACCTCTGCGCCTTTCCCCTGAGGCCCCTGCTTAGTGAGCCCCCCATTAAGGTGCACCTGAGGCCCACAGCCCACACACAGACCCCAGGAGCACCTGCCCTTGGACACTCGCTGTCCAGCTGTTGCCACAGCACTTCAGGTACACGTGGCTATTGTTGGCCCCTTCTAGACCTTAAATATCCTTTAAGGATCTCTAAGGAATATTCTGGGAGTGAGACCTGTCCCTTTAGGAATGGCAAAGAGGACAAAAAAGTATGGGACAGCCGGCTTCCCACGCTCTCCCAGAGGCGGCACCTCCCCAACCCCTCCTGAGTGTGCAAATGTGAGCGCATCTCTTTTAACAAAACGGAACCACAGCCCACATGCAGGTTTAACTGGACTTGCTCTTCAGCCAGTAATAACACAGACCTGCCTCAGTATTTCTGACAACTGTACGGCACCCTCCACGGTTCCTGCTGTCTGTGCGATCAGTCCCCTGGACGGCCAGGCGCACAGCTCTGCAATGGACATCACCTTTGCCCACTAGCCTGATGACTTCTAGAAGTGGAATTTGATTCAAAAAGTTTCCACATCTTCAAGGTTTTTGATACCTGCTGCTCAGCGACCCTTCACAAAGGCAGTTCACTTACCACTGCCCTCGGCCACACGAGGCCATGGTGCACCCTCTCCTCGCCCCACGCAATCGCTCACTCCCTGGAGCCAGCCGTGTTGATGGAGCGCTGCCCCGGGGCGCCCAGCTCAGTCGGGGCAATTGCAACCGGCCCCCATCCATGTGCAGGGCTTCAGGGGGCAGGGCCCTAATGCCACTTTGCACCCACGGCTTGCGTTTTTGCGTTCCAGCTTTTCCCCAGTGATGCAGTGACAAGCCCCTTGACCACCCAGCTCAGTGCGTCTGCCAAGGACACAAGGACCACACAGGCCCAGCTGTAGAGCAGCATATGGTGCTTCTCAGCTCCCAGAGCTCCCCGATCTGATTGGGGACACCTTGCCACCCTTAAAGTGCTTCTGGAAGTAAGCAAAAATGAAGTCCTTTATCTGTGGGCCTCCCGATGTGCCTGAAAGCAGCGGAGACACTCTGCTGTGGCCCGTTCATGACTGAGTATCTATCCCGCTCTGCTTAGTACAGGCCACGTGCTGCGCATGGAGCCGGGAGGGCGATGCAGACTACCACGGCCTGGTGCTGCCCTCTGGGTGTGCGTCCAGTGGGAGATTCAGATATTCTCATACTAGGACGGATGAGGGGCACAGAATCAGGAGCTAACACTGGACAGGGGTCCAGGTCAGGTCTCGGGGGCCTCTAAGGAGCTGGGTCTCAATCCAGAGGCTAGGGGTGGGACTGGGGGACAGACAAAATCTAAGGAGTGACACAATTCCACGGGCTGCAGCATTACCAGGCAGGGCCAGTGCAGGCCAGGGCCAGGGGCACCCAGGGGCACCGGACAGGGACCAGCATGGCAGGAGTCTCATCCGGCTGCTTTGGAGCCGAGCGCCACGGGGACAGCCGGATGGACTGTGTCAGGAGTGAGGGAGGTGGGGCGGAGGGGAGAGGCCGGATGCTGGGAGGTGGGGAAGCGTCTGGGTCGCTCACACAATCACCTTAAGCCAAGCCATGGTGATGGACAAGTGCAGGCAAACAGAAAAGGTGCCGCTGGCACGTGACCCAAGGCAGCAGCCGGCTCTCATGCGAAGAAAAACCAATCTCCTTTAGTGCCACAGCGGTGATGTGTTTTTATAATACAGTAGATTAAATAAAAACCAATAGTTTAGTGGCATTTTCTATTCAGCTCTATTAAGATTTATTTCTCAGTGGAATTATTTTAAGCCTAATTTTAATCTGCCACTGATTTAGGAACAGTTTGAATTACTTAACCCTGAGAAAATATATGCGCCCTATTTAGTTTTTTAAACAAAACCACTTTGAGGGGTTTGGTTTATCATCTGAGAGCAGATTTTAATGACACTAAAGTTCCTTACTGAAAATTAATTATATTTTAGTTTTCCAGTATCCAATTTACTCAGGCCTAGGGGGCCACCAGAGGGTATGAGGGAGCAAAGGATGCACACAAATTTCCACGCAGCCCAGGAGCCCTGAGGTGAGGGAACAATCTGGAAATCCAGGGACACTGCAGCCCAGGAACGGCTGTCATCTACAGCAGCTCCCTGGCCAAGGTCCCCATGAAACAGAGTCTGACCGGGCAGACATCTGGCTGTGTGCTGGGCATGGTCGGGAAGGCTGGCACACGGCGGGCAGGCCGCAGGGCTCCGAAGCTCAGGCGCCACCGCCGTGCGTGCATTCGCGCTGTCCCCACTGCCCCCAGGACACGCTGATGGGCTGGCGGGCCATGGGCCCATGCTACCTCCCCCGCCCACACTGGCCCCTCTCGCCCAGGCTCAGGCCACTGCGGCGTGGCTTCTCACCTGCCAGGCGATTGTTCACTTGGTTGTGTTTCTTCCAAAGCCAGAGAACTGCTTGGTCGGGTGTTTTCACGGAATCCATGGATTCTTTAGCCATTTCCTCAAAATGCTCACCACACTCCTTACAGCCAAAGAAGGTGTGGACGTACCTCCGGATGGTCTGCAGCACTGCCTGGGGGTCGCCTTCAAAACCTGCCGAGGGAACAGACGGCTGTGGTGCCTCGGAATGACAGTCACCAGAAGGGGTGAGGCTGTTTCCACTAGAAGCACAGGGCTTGGGTAAGCATGGGGAGCCAGGAAGGGGGTGAGCGGCCAGACACGGAACAGCCCTGCGTGTCTGCACAGGGATGCAGGACGGAACCAGCACCTCCCCAGCGCCTACTGCGGGCAGAAGGTGCCCGCCCACTCACTCTCGCAACGCCACACTGAATGTGCACACCCTGGAATGTGGGCCCGTCGTCTGTGTCTTGCTGTGGGACACACCCCACGATGTGCACTGATACCCAGGAAACGAGTCACGGGCGCTGAGACGCCATGACTCCGAGGGGCCCTCGGAGGGATGCGTGGCACCCTTGCCGGCCTTCCGCCTCTCATCTTCGGCCTCACCACCAAAGCCATGGTTTGGCCTTGGGGTCTGCCTCCTGTATGCAGTTCCTCTGGCCTTACAAGCAACCCCCAAAGGCTGGTGTGGGGCAATGGCAGCTACTCATTCTAAATTTGTAGCTGTTTTGCTCTGAAATCCTTGCAAAACACAAGCCTAAGTGGGAACTTGGCCTTAGGAAGTGCCTCTGGGCTTGCCCCACACTTCGGATGGTCGTCTATGAGAGGGGGCGGCAGGGGGGCAGCGACAGTCACGGACTGGCCAGCTGCCAGGTGCAGCCTGTGCGCTTCTATAAAAAGGCTAAAGCTCTCTGTGTGAGGAAACCTCCAGCATCCACCAGCCAGACAGTGTCCACCCCTGCACGTAGACAAGTGCTAAGGGGCCGTGGGAGCTGGAGAAAAGATGCTCTGATGGAATCGCACCAGTGTTTCAGGAAAGCCACCCCTGACAGCAGAGGGAAGCACCAGTGTCACACTAACAGGAGGACCCAGTGCCCCTCTCAGACGACTAATATGAGGACCAGCGTGCAGATGAGAGACGTGAGATGGAAACAAACTAAATGTTGGCATTGAAAGAAACACAGCAAGATAACTGGAAAAAAGGAGACGCGCTTTTGAGACTGAATACGCCTTGACCAACAGCGAGCCTCCTGGAGTGATCTTGCCTCACACACGGCGCGGCCCCCAGCATCTCGGGGTTCTCCGGGTGAGGGCAACACCCCTCCGCAGGCCCAGAGCCAGGGCCCGGGGGCACTTCCCGCGTCCGTCATTAACCTTGGCGTCCTCGTCCACCTCCCGCAAGGAAGGCCCAGACTGAGCGCCCCTCCAACGTCTCCTTGGCTCTGAGTGTGTCCAACGGCAGCCAGGGGCACCCAGGGTGAGCCGGCACGCACGGCCTAAGCACACGCTGCGGGCCGCCCCGGCCCCTCGCCCGGCTCGTCTGCTCCCTCGCCAGCCGGTAGATCTTCGGCCGACAGCTGCCGCGCGTCACTGGTAATCCTCCTTTTCTCTCTCCCCACCAAACCGCTCACACTCAGGGCCGCCTAATCTTTAAAGTGGACAAGAACCATAAACGTCTACCTGGGGGGGATTAGGGGACGCGGCAAGCTTTTTAGTCGATGGGGTTTAACATGCAGTAAGGAGAGGAAAACCCTTCCAAGACATAATCCGCAGCCTCGGCCTGACCCAGTTCTTCGGCATTAGACGGCCTCCTCGCACACGGCTTCAGTTTCCGCCGACACAGGGAGAGAAGGCCGAAGATCGGACCGCGTGCTCTGTCATCCTGCTGCCACTACGACCTCACGGGCTGGCCTCAGCTCTGTCACATGTCACAGAACACCCTGGGGACGACCTCCTTCCCCAGCTGCCACCACGCTGCCCTCCAAGCGCTGGCCCGCTCCTCAGCAGAACTCCTCCTGGAGCTGAGGTTCCCTCACCCACTCGTGTTTCAGAAGCGCGTCCCAACGGTCGGGTTTCTGTCAGATCATCAGATCGGGCAGTGTCGATGTCCTGGTTTTGCTCTCTGTTTGGGAGGTTTCTCCTGAAAAACACGCTGCCCTTTTTTCTGTGATTCAAAAACAACCTTTGGGTCAAAGGCCCCCTCCCCTACAGGACCCCTGAGTAGAAAGCCAAGGTCACCCTGAGCAGCGCCGGCGTGGGGGAAGATGTCCCAAGACAGCCACACACCTCTTTCGCGTGTGGCTTTGCTGCTTCTCCCAGGGACGGGGCACTCTAGTTCCCCACTGAGACCGTGGGCTGGACGAGACTACAGGGCCAGCAGGAGCAGCGGGAGTGATGCCACGTGCCCCTTGCCAGGGGCTCAAGAGGTCCTTCCTGAACACAGTGTCACCCTGGGGGAGCAGGCCGGCCCGTGGAGTCTAGACTGATCAGCTGCTGCCACCTAAGCAAGCCTCATGGGGCAGACAGCAGATCCGCCCCGCCGAGCCGGCCCAGCCGCTGAGTCTCAGGCCCACGAGCAGGTCAGAGGGGGTGTTCTAAGCCACAGCATTTGGGGTAGTTTGTTATGCCGCAAAAGAGAAGTATAAGAGAATTTTACTGGAAAGAATATTGTACTGGAATTGTACAATTGTACTGGAAAGAATATTGGAATGTATGAGTCAAGAGACTCTAATTTCAATTTAATACAAACATTAGTGAAGCCGAATGAGTAAAAAACAAGTAAAAGATAAGCTGTTCTTCCCGAGGCTGCCAGGGGCCTGCTCCCACTGGAGCACAGATCCAACAAGGCCAAAGTAGATACAAACCCAACACAGTTTTACGTCTCATGTAGGATATAAAATGAGATAATTCTGACCGCGCTATGGTCTGATAATTGACATTACTTTTCTCTGTTTATTTTTTTGGTGAGGAAGATTCGCCCTGAGCTAACATCTCTGCCAATCTTCCTTGATTTTGTATGTGGGTTACTGCCACAGCATGGCCACCTAGTGGTATAGGTCTGCACCTGGGATCTGAACCTGGGCTGCTGAAACGGAGTGGACCAAACTTAACCACTAGGCCACAGGACTGGCCTGATACCTGAAATTATTAAACCCAACTTGAAGTTCTACAGTTTCTCACCTCTTGTGGCAGGCAGCCTGAGATGGCCCCGTGGTCCCCCTCCCTCTGTGAGCAGGCTTGGCTCACTTCTGACATTGGTTATCACCCCAAGAAGCATGCCCTCTCATTGGCTTGCTCGGGTGGAGCCAGCTGCTGTGGTGTGAGCTGCCTACGGAGAGGCCACAGGGTGAGGCACTGAGAGTGCCTGCCCCCCAGCAAGGACCTGAATCCAGTCACTGCCTCGAGAGTGAGCATGGGCGGGTCTTCAGAGGAGGCCCCAGCCCTGGCCAACACCTTGCCTGAGGTGGTCAGAGACCTGAAGCAGAAGATCCTGGTTAAGCCACATCTGAGTTCCTGACCCACAGACACTGTGAGATAATAAATGTGCATTGCTTTAAGCTGCTAAGTTTTAGGGTAATTTGTTATACAACAACAGATAACTAATACACCTCTCCAAATACGTTTCAGTTATTTTTTTTTCTGCTGAGGAAGATTTGCCCTGAGCTAACATCTGTTGCCAGTCTTCCTCTTTTTGTATGTGAGCCGCCGCCACAGTACTGCTACTGACAGATGAGTGGTGCTAGGTCCATGCCCAGGAACCAAAGCTGGGCCACTGAAGCAGAGCATGCCAAACTTAACCACTAGGCCAGCAGGGCTGGCCCTTCCCATATTTTTTAAAGCAAAAAAAGAGATGTCTACACCACAGAGAAATTCTTAGCCGTGTCCCCTCATTCTTCTCTATGATTCATTTCCTGCAGACCAGTTGAGCACAGGCTTGCGAGTTAAAGAGGCGGGCGCTCACGCCCCAGCATCCAGAGCCCGTGCAGGGACAGGCCGAGTCCTGAAAAGATGCTCCCCTCCAGCCTCCTCAGCATGGGACCCCAGGGGCGTCCCTTGTGACGTGCTGCCTTACACACAGCAAACCAAGTCTGCACGTGTGCTCCCGACAGCCCCCAGCAGCTCCGCGTGGAATAGGTCATCGGACTAACGGCGCCCGGCCGCGCAGGACGGTACCTGTGTCGTCCAGTGCCTCCGGGTGGGCCGCAGCCTCCACAGTCAGCGTGTGGAACAGCTTCCAGAGTGAACACGTGTAACCCCGCAACTCTGGTCGGCTCCCCTGACATCCAACCCACTTGATGTGACTGGTAAGAAATATTCCAGAAATCTGAAAAAAAAGAAGAGAAAATAAGAGGTAATTGTTAAAATTAAAAACAGTTGGTGAAGGTCCTCTCTCGATTGGGTGGCGGTTACACAGGGCATACATTTATCAAAATTCCTAACCGTACAACTGACCACATGTAAATTTAAACTCAATACCAAACCAACGAGAAGAAAAGGTTTACTTCACTATAGACGTTCTCAGAATGTGGGATGTGGCCTGTTCTTTCCAGCCTTTGGGGAGAAAGGAAGAGTTTATCTGTGTCTTGATAAATTAGCACTAGGAAGCAGAAGAACATCCACCTTTTCTCTTAAATTAGAATCAGTTATAATGAAATTCATAGGAGAAGATTAATAAAATAGAAATAAAAATGTAAAAAGTTCAATTCCCCAACAGTTGTTGGCCAGAACGAGCAAGGATATTCACCGTATTGTCAGCAAACTGAGGGCCTGACAGGGTCCTAAGGGCTCAGGAGACACACGCCCCAACCAAGCGGGTCCCGAGCACAGTGACAGGCTGTCCCGGCCGCCCCGGGCCCCTGGCAGGCTGACCGGCACAGGGTTATTGGCAGTTGAGTCTGAAGTGCTCTGTCCCAGCCCCCTTCCCCCGCTCGGAGCCCAGGCCACACGCTCGCACGTGGGAGATGTCACACGTCCCAGGTCCTGTGTGGGAAGATGCCACGATAACCTCAAGCTCGGAGGAGCAGTGGAGGAAGGTCCAGGCAGGAAACCCCGCCATTTGTTCCTCAGCTGCAGACAGCAACCAAAGCTGGCGAGAGCCTGGACAATGGCCCCACGTGCCCCTGCGCAGCGAATGCCAACCGTGCAGCATGCTGACAGCATGACCCTGGGTTTACTTAAGGGTGTTAAGCTCTCCTGTGGCCGCAGAGGCCACCAAGGCGGCCCAAGGAAGGGAGCTCTGAGGCCCTCGCCTCCCAGCACCCGGCCTTGTGGCAGCTCCAGCAGGACTGCCACACTTCGTATTGAGCACGTCGTTTTTATTCACTTTTTAGTGAAATAAAAACTTCAGGTGTAAAATTCAGATGAGTTCACTAAAAATTTAAATAATAAAAAAAGACCTAGTGCTACACTGCTTGAGAAAACCTTGTCTTTCTCTCATTTTCTCTATAGGACAGCGCTCACAGCATGTTTCTGGTGACCTGTCCTTAAACTGAAGACTTCAGCATGATGGTGACAGCACCACAGATGGATGAGGGAGTGGATATGAAGTCGTCATGGAAATGGGGACAGTGAAAATCGTTGGGGCGTCACACGGAGGGAAACGGGGGCCCTCGAGGCTGCAGGCATGAAGGTACCTGCCGCACTGGCAGGTCCACATGCACGCACAGCGTCCCCTCCCCACACACGGCATCGGGGCCCCAGCTGGTCAGTTACAGGAGAACAACATGCCCCGAGCTCTGGGAGGGGCTGGGCTCACCCGCATTTTGTTGTTGACCAGGTCGAGGACGGCATTGTAGGGGATCCTGTCCAGGGGAAGATTGGCCAGCCATTCCTGCAGTGTCTCCAACAGCCTTCTGACGGGCGGCCGGCCGGGGAACAGCTGAGGGAGGAAGGACCACACTTAAAGACGCTCAGGGCACGGCGGTCCCCGGGGTAGAGGCCAGGCCTGCCCTGACACCGACAAGTGGGGCTGGTGGGGGAAATGTCTCCACCAGTCCAGGGCCTTCACCTAGAACTGGGGTAGGGGGAACGCAGAGGGGAACCAGGCTTCCGGCCGACACCTTCCAGGAAGCTGAGCCAGAGCCCCCTTCCTCCAGCCTTTCTTCGGCGTCTTGCCCACCCGTCCAGCACCGTGCCGACAGCCACTCTTCCTCACGCCAGGCAGCCACTTCACAACGACAGGACGTGCCACAGCATGCCCTCTTTCTCATGCTCTCAAGGGCTTTATAGTCCTTTCTGAACTCACAGCCTATTGTTCCATGTTCCTCCTGGTCATTTATGCTAACCCGCCGGCTGCACAGACTCATGCCCTCCACCTCCTGCCTGTGCCATCTCTGACTGTGAAACTACTTGGAAAAGATGTGCACGCCCCTGAGGTCTTTATGCACAAATGTGCAATCTGCTGGCTTGCTGAATGCCATGCTCTGCTAGCCATGCAGCTGGCCGCACCGCAGAGGCCTGGACAAGCATCGAGCTCAATGATCCCGTGCTACCGTGGACTTTCTGGAAGGAACTTCGATTAGGTGTTGCCTATTAAGTGTGCAAAATGAAGGCTGCTGAAAGCTCTTAAAAACCTGAGCTGGGGCTGGCTCCATGGCTGAGAGGTTCAGTTTGCGCGCTCCACTTGGGCAGCCCAGGGTTTCACTGGTTCGGATGCTGGGCGCAGACACAGCACCGCTCATCAAGCCACACTAAGGGGACGTCCCACACAGCACAACCCAAAGGGCCTACAACTAGAGTATACAACAGTGTGCCGGGCTGCTTTGGGGATAAGAAGAAAGGAGAAAAAAAAAAGAGACAACGACTGGCAACAGATTTTAGCTCAGGCGCCAATCTTTAAAAAAACAACAAAAAAACCTGAGCTAAAACCTTACTAATGAGAATGCTAAAACAAACAGCAGAAACATCACATTTTCAACCCTGTAACATCTTTTCTTTCCTACACAGGCTACAAAGTACCTTTATCAACCTCCCAGCACTTTATTTTTACCAGCATTTAATTCAAAGTTTAGGTAAACTTTGGAAAAATCACTAAGTCATCCAGACTCACAGAGCCCTGTGGCACATGTGTAAACCCGCGGCGTCCCCAGCTGAGATGACGGTAGAGCAGAGAGAGCATGCGTGGAGCACACGGCTCCCAATTACTCCCAGCTGGCGACGTGTGCAGCCTGGGGACAGATGAGCAGGGCACTTTCTTAAAGGAATGAGGGCAGCTGGAGATTTCTGAACTCCGACGGCACAAGGGGTGAAAACCTGTCTAGACGATTTTCATCTCTTCATTTGAAATATATTATGCGACTCATTATTCCTTTAAACATAAATCCTATCTCCCTCATTTTCTTCAGAAATCATACTATAGAAGTAAACTCTGACTATCCAAAATGCTGAAAATGAATTACTGTATCAGGCACCTTAGTTTTGGCAAGAGAAATCTTTTTTCTTTTTTTCTTTTTAAAGATTGGCGCCTGAGCTAACACCTGTTGCCAATCTTCTTTTTCCTTCTTCTCCCCAAAGCCCCGCAGTACACAGTTGTATATTCTAGATGTAGGTCCTGCTAGTTCTGCCATGTGGGACGCCGCCTCAGCACGGCCTGATGAGTGGTGCCAGGTCCACGCCCAGGATCTGAACCGGTGAAACCCCAGGCCGCTAAAGTAGAGTGCGCAAACCCAACCACTCAGCCATGGGGTCGGCCCCAAGAGAAATCTTTTAATTAAGCTTCCCTATCTTTTAAATAACAAGTCATTCAGGTCTCAGCATTATAAGCGAGGCAACTGAAGGAAATATTTCTCCTGTGGCCAGCAGCAGGAGCAAAGGGCCCAGTTCCCAGGCTACTGCGACCGACAGGCACGGGGCAGGCCTAGGGGCTGGGCTATCCCAGAAGTCAGAGAGCAGAAGGGCCTACTGGGGCCAAGAGGACAAAGGCTCAGGTCTGTCCCCAGGGAAGAGGGATGGCCTCCTGCTTCCTGCTGCTCTGTACAACGTAAGAATTCTGGGCCAAGAAAAAGACAAGCCCTGGATTTTAGCCCCAGAGCTAAGAGTTCGTGGCGGGAATGTGACCCCAACAGCCACCCATCTCTAAGCTTTAGCCAGCACACGAGCCATCCACCTGCTCCCTCTGCTCGTAAAGGTGGAAGTGCCAGCCCAGCCCACTCACGAGCTCCTGGCCAACACAACAGACTCCAGGTGACAACGACAGCTGCCACAGCTGCCTCCCTCCCTAACCCGCCACACCCCGAGGGAGCTGTCTGTGCAGCCTCTCTTCCACCCACACTCACCCAGGCCATCGGCACATGCCCGTCACACCGCGCCGAGTCAAACTGCTTCCAACCCCGTGCTGTCCCCGGACAGTCCTGCCCTCCCCTGAGGACGGCAGCGCCTCCTGCCTTCCCAACAGGTGCCAGATGCCGGGCCTCTGCTCCACTCTACCCCCACCGAGCAGGGACCTTTGTGCCCCCACATCCCAGGGCTCAGAGCAGGGTCAGGCGGCCAGCATGCGTTTGTAACTGAGCCGAATGAGCCCACAGGCCAACCCAGCCAAGGGGAGGAGCGCATCCCCTGACCGAGTCGGCTAGCTCCCAGCAGGCGGGCGGGCAAACCTCCCTGGCCGCCGCTCCGCAGAGCAGAGCACCACAGCCCGCTCAGAGCCCACGCACCTTGGCGGCGACGGTGACGAAGTCCTTGAGCGTGTTCAGCTCGGCCCCGGCCAGGGCCTTGTGCGCGGCCAGCTCCACTCGCAGCAGGTAGTGCAGCCCCGACTCGAGGTCTGCCGTGTACAGTTTCGACCTAAGATGAAACGTTATGGAGTCAGCTGAAAACCCCCTTTCTCTTCGTGTAAATACCCTCCTTTTTGCCTCTACCCCCGCGGGACCCCACTCCCCACAGCGAGGCAACATCGAGGACTCCTGAATGGCCAAGAGTTGGGTGGTGGCTTCCAAAAGAATCTGCCCCTGCCCATGAGCCGTGCCCGCAGCCCTCTGCATCCGTGCCCCGATGCCGGCCCCCGTCTCTCCCGGGGCAGCTCAGTCCAAGAGGAATACTTGCCTGTCAAATTCTCTCCAAACCACAATTTCAGAATTTTCTTCCTCGCTTGGCTTTTCAGGCAACGAAAGTGATTTTTTCCTCACATCTGGCAACGACTTCAAATAAGAGGAAAAAAATGACCGGAGAGGCTTCGCGCTACGAGAAAGGGGAGGGCAAGGGGGGGCTCAGAGCCACTCCAGGGTCCCGGGCCACCTCTGCAGGGGTCCGGACGAGGCACGAAGTCACCCTGGCACCTGCGTCACCAGGCTGAGAAGAGCCCTCCCTCCAGGATTTAGGGAAGTTACCCAGACTGTCCCCCATTCATTCTGCGACATTTATGACAGGTATCGTGGGCAGGGGGACGGGACAGGAGCAAAGCCCAGGGCTCAGGGAGCTGGCCTTCCACCTGAGAAGGTGAGACAAACCCACAAGGAACCACTGAGTTACAGCTGTAAGAAGTACTAGGATTCATTTTTGCTCAGGGGACATTAGGATGGTTTGTAAAGCTGGTTTGAGCCTCTGCCAGTATCAGCTTTATTCAAACTGTGGATTTGAACATGCCTAAGAGCCTTCGTCCACAGTCTGCCAGCTCTGAGTGGGACATCTGGAAGTCGGGGCTGGGGGAAGAGGCGGGGGCACCCTGACGGCCTTGGTCAGGTCCCCAGAGCGCTGCCGTATGGCCCCTTAACGAGGCAGGGGCGCGCTCTGAGGACACGTAAGGGCCCTTCCTGCACACTCCCAGTGTAGCTCGCGGGTCGGTGAAAGTGTCCAGAGCTCATTCTCACTCCCAGAGAGGAAGCAGCAGTGGTGTTGGGGAGACACCAACATCGTGTGCTAAGAAGTTGTACAGATGACACCTTTAACATAAAACAAGAATTTTTCTTCAAAACAAAACAGCAACGTGCTCAGGGAAGCCCTGTCAAGGACCATCCGTGCTGTGGGCCTGGCATGGGCTGCCTCTGCTGCAGGCCCGGGGGCGTGGTGTGCTGGCCCAGGTGCCTTGAGAGCCCTAACGAACTCTGCCGCAGAGTGCGACACAGGTGACCCAGCTCCACAGAGGCCTCCTGGCCTGCCCTCAAGTTCTGTCTGTCTTTTAAGAACAGTGCCTAAGAAATGGGGACATGTTTGAGGCTTTGGGGCAGGGTGCCCTTGGTGCCCCAGTTAAACTTTCCAGAAGCTGAAATAGAAGCCCAGGGAGGGAGGAAACTGGTCTGTCTTCTCACTGCTGTGTTCCCAGCAGATGGTGACTCATCAAGAACTGCTGAGCAAACAGTCTGAGTTCACACGGGGCCTCCAGGCAGTGGGACCACCCGGGCAAACAGGTGGGCCCAGGGCGGACACCATGGGCTTCAGGACGGGCCCTGACCTTCTCATCTGTTCGCTTTTCCCAACCTTTACCCAAGCTGTGTACTTTTCAGTCCGCATCCAGTGCAGAGGCAAACGGTGTCCGCTGGCCTTAGCAAGGAGAGCAGACCGCAAGGGGCCTAGAGCCAGAGCCCACTCGGCCTCGCCTCTCATTCTGGAGAAAGGGAAGGAGCGCGCCAGGCTGCTCCGAAGAACAGACTAGGCCAGCGTCCAGCCCAGGTGAGGCCCTACACGCTGAAGGGTTTCCCGGATCCCACCAGGGGTCGCAAATGCTCTGTGAGCCCAACTACACTTACACGTTAGCTAATCCGTGCGACCCGTTTGGGTAAATCAAGTAGCAGGAAGGGACGGAAGGAACACCAAGTTTGTCGAGAAAGGCTTTATCCGCACTCAGCGCCCTCTTCACCACGATGTTCTCGTAAGGAATCAGGTCCAAAATCACCTGGACGAGAAGTAACATCACCCGCTCCATGGATGGCAATGTTCTCAGGAATAGCAGTCACAAAAGGACAAAAGGAGCATGCCTACAGAAATTAGAACACCGTCATCTGGAACAAACCTGCAATCGTCTCCTCTATAAGCCAGACCATCATTTACATCTTAATCTTTACTGCACTTTAAGGCAATGCTGAGACACATGCCGCAGGCAGAAACTATAATCTCAGCAATCGTACAGACTAGCAGAGAAAACGTGTGTCAATGAACTTGACTACACTTTTAAGTCAGCACATCCTCCACAAAATTCACACTCATCAAGCGAATGCATTCACCACCATGTCTCTGTGGGGCCACACCCCTAGCCCTGAGCTTTCCCTTGACACACATGGCCATGCACCAGGCAGCATGTACCCTGAATTTGGGAAGCTAACAGCAGCCCCCGAGAGCAACACAGCCCTGGTCAGCCAAGCGAAGTGCCAGCAGGCTCCGGGCTGGCCGTTCCTTCCCTCGGGACCTGCCCCTGTCTGGTCCTGCTTAGGCTGAAGGCAGAGTGACAAGGTCTTGGTAGCAGAGGGCCCATAGGAGTGGCATCTCAGGAGCTGGACCAGTATGAAAGATGACCCGCAATCCCCGCACACCACCAAGAAATCAAGCACAGAACCTGCCCCTCCTGACTTCTCTTAGACAGCAACAGAGCCAGCCGTGTCCTGAAGAAGGGCGTTTGCTCACAGTGCAGACCAGGCACAGCAGCCACCAGGACTCTTATGAGCCAGGCTCGAGCGTGGTCAGCCAGAGAAAGCAGCCTGTTGTCACCAGCAAACCTGGATGGTGCTCACACATGCATCCACATCAAAGCTTGCTCACGCGTGTCAGCAAAGCGCCCAGGGGAGCACACTGCCTCCTGAGCTCATGGCAAAAGGGAGGGAGCCGGGGGCTCGGCGCGGAGGAAGCAGTTCCCAGAGGGAGGCGCCTCCTCTCCTCTCAGCCAGCCAGCCGCGTGTCAGGGAACTCCTCTCACCCATCCCCAGATCCCATCCCTGGATTTTACTGAGAGTTCGCCAAAGGCAAAGGTTTCAGACCCACATGTGAAATGACAGAACAAAGTTCGATGACAGAAACAATGTATTACAGAATCTTGGACTTGGCAAAAAAGTTGAGAGTTCAGAATACAGCAGAGAAAAAATCTTGCTAATAACGCAGAAGCAAGCAAGCATGCCCTCAAGGAAAGACACAGCTTGTCACGAAAAACCAGGGCCCCCCGCCCACCCAGAGCCTCCCTCCCAGCCCCACGCCAGGGACGGAGGCATCACTCTGGGGCCTTTCCTGCCTCCCCTCGGAGGCACGCCCCCACTCTCAGTCTTCCCTCTATACCAGCAAATTCGCTGAACAGCATGCACCACGATGCCGCGAATTAATGAGAAGGAACGAAACCCAAGCGCACGAGGCAAGGAGAAGCAGCTGCTATGTGGGGGTCTAACTGCAGACCCAACACGCGACTCCCACCACGTGGGCAGACGGGAAAGAAGCCACACGGTACCTCACGGCCAACGTAGGAGCTGTTGCTTTCAAACAAAATCGCCACATAACGCCCATCATGGTTATCAATGAGGGAAAGAACGTCACTGGGCCTTTTAACAGAAAAAAAAGAGGCTTTTAGTGCTTTCAAGAACAGTGAGCTGGCCATCATAGACCAGTGCCCATAGCACTTAATGAAAATCTATATTTTACAAAATTAAATTCAACTGGTAAAGTGTCACTGTCTTTGCAGAACTACGCACCGAATAGGGTCCAAAGACGGGCAGGCGGGAGGCCTGCGTCTGTCCGTGTGGTTCTGCAGGAAATCGATCATGGTGTGCCGCACCGTCTGCAGCTCTCGGTCGGGCCCTGCAGGGAAGCACGCCACGATCACGGCCGCATCCGCCGCATGGAGCGCCCACCCACCCAGGGCCCCAGAGGGCATGGCGCGGGCACGCGTCACTCAGGGAACCCCAGCAGGGTGCACCAAGGCCAGGGAGTGCGCGGCAGACAGCGGTGGCTTCACACAACAGGAGACGACAGCCACGAGGGTGGGAACAATTGGGATTTGGGGACACATGGCAATAAGGATGAATCTCACACCCAGCATGGAGACAAAGGGGCCAGACATGCTGCGAGTCCATCTACACTAAGTTCAGAAACGTGCAAACGACCTCTGATGTACGTAGAACAGCTGTCACCCGCGGCTGACGTCTGGACACTGGCTACCCGTGGGTTCACGCATGAAAACTCACCAGGTGTGCACGTGTCATGTGTGCACGTCTCCAAATGTCATTTTTCAATAAAAACAGGTTTACTTAAAAAAAGAAAACTCACCACCGTATTTGCCAAAGAAGGCAAAGACAAAATAAAAATTTTATGAAACTATGACTGTTTGAACTCTTAAAGGAAAGACAGGTAGGATGGCGCTGACGCGAACATGCTGTGGGGGCACAGACCCCATCAGGTGAGCCTTCTAGGCTCCTGAAACCAATTTTACTTTAATTGGCTTATGAGGTGAATCTAAGAGCGTAAAATACAATGCTTATGTCCTTACCTTTAAAATTTTCTCCAGTTGTGAAGTCCTTTGTAAATGCCTTAAAATACTAAGAGAAAACACAGAACAAATAAGAAACAGCCTTGCCTGGTGTCTGTGTAAGTGGTTAATCTTTAAGCAACAAATGACCATCATCTTAAAGACAGTCTTGGTCCACTTCCTCCAGAAAGGTCACCTTAACTGATGACGAACGCTGTTTCTATGTGTCTCTGTGGATATTCGTGTTTCCTACCAGATTTACGAGTGGTGGTTAATACCCGTCAGAATACTGTTTACATTTTCTGACCCGAGAGGGTTAGAACCACAAAAGAGGGCGCCCCCCTCCCCCGCCGACCCTGGCGTTAACTGTGTCCAGACGGCCAGCTCGCATAACACAAACCACAAAAGAGGGCGCCCTCCCTGACTCTGGGTTAACTGTGTCCCGACAGCCAGCTCGCAGAACACAAACGGCTCCAGGGGGGACGCAGACTCTGCCGAGGCCCTCTGAGCACGGGAGCAGGATTTATGCTGATTTACGCTTAAAACCTTCTTCATCAAAACACACATTAAAGACGGCTACAAACGGGGTGAAGACACTCCCAAGCCTCACAACTGAAAGAAGGGAAGCGTCGAGAACACGCAGTCTTCAATAAATCAAAGAAAATACAAACAGCCCCAGAGGAAAACAGGCAAACGACACGAAGAGACATTTCACAGATGGGGTGACACACAGGCAACAAACACAGAAGATGTGATCACTATCACGGTCGGCAGGGATGGTTCGTGTGCCCTGCGGCCCAGCAGCTGCACTCCAGGCCCGTGCCCACATGGAACTCCAGCCACGGACAACAGGACACGCGCGAGAACGCTCACGGCAGCCAAGCCAGGAGCAGCACAAGTGCCCAGTCAGGACAGGGGATGGGAACCTGTGCTACCATGACATAAGGGGATATCACTCAGCAACTAAAACCAATGAGCCACAGCCACACAACAATGTGGGTGGCCCCTAGCAACGCCCTCGTAAGTGAAAGTGAAGGCCCAAGCATACACACAGCACCGCATCCGGTGCCCAAAGTGGAAAAAGCAAGACAGGAGCACATTCAATGTGATAAAACTCTCGGACAAGTGACGCCGGACTCAGGAGAAGGGTCCCTCTGGTGGGACTGGGGCACCAGGCAGGCCAGTGCACGTGGTCTGTGTGGGTGACAGATGCACAGCTGCCGTGACAGCAGTCAATACCCAGCTCAGGGGGCTGGCCCCGTGGCCAGTGGTTAGGTTCACGTGCTCTGCTTTGGTGGCCCAGGGTTTCACTGGTTCAGACCCTGGGTGTGGACATGGCACCGCCCGTCAGGCCACGCTGAGGTGGTGCTCCACATAGCACAACCAGAGAAACTCACAACTACAATATACAACTACAATATACAATATACAACATACAACTACAATATACAATGTACTGGGGAGCTTTGCAGAGAAGAAGAAAAAAAAACAAACAAAACCCCAGCTCAGCAAGCAGAGTGGGGAACAGGGACACTGCGCCACAGAGCACAGGACTCTGGGGCTGACAGGGCATGGGGGCTGAGAGGTGCATTTTTCCTGAGATGTCCATGTCACCATGATGCGCTCTGTGCAGGCATGTGACCGCACACACGTGCACACACAGACGCATATGTGGTTCTGACTTGCCACAGATCCCACTTTACTCTCTGCCCCCTGGCGGAAGAAACAGGTATAAACCTGTCTGGGGGCAGACCCAGCACGCAGGCCGGGCGTCAGAGCGGCGCTGGCGGATCAGTGCACGTGTAGAGCACCCAGGGGGCAGCCTCACACAGGCCACACACGTGGTGGACGCACGGGGTGGGGAGGCCTTAGACCAGGGCTCCAGCAGCGGCTCCCCATCACTCCCACACTCACTGGCCATGCCGACTGTCACCTCGCTGGGTGTGAGCGGGGCTGCGTGTGTGGACAGTCCCATAGCGACTGACACACCCAACAGGTGGAATGAAGGAGGTGACCCTTCGCAAACAGAAATTCCTATTAAGTTTCAAGAAGCATGCGCAAAATGCTAAAAATGTAGAAATTACATTATGTGGTGAATTTCAACTTAAAAGAAGCCCCTCGTGAAGAAAGGTGGGCACAGATGGCAAAAGGGACAGAGGAAGGAGCCTGCCCAGAGAGGGCAGGATGGCGCTCACCCGGAAGGTGGGGTAGAAGTGGATGTCATAGGCTCGGCACACCTCGTGGTTCTTTTCTTCTGCACAGTCCAGGGCAGCGACGCGGACGGCAGCGGCCCAGTCTGAAAAGCAGAAGCACGGCCTTCAGGGCAGCGGGCACTGGGCTGGCTGGTCCCACCCCAGGCCCGCATCCACGTGAGCCATCAGCCCATGCCTCCCTTCAGGTCATCAATTGAGCCCTTCCGGGCACAGAACATTCCTGAGTCAAGGTGGGGAAGAAAACACAGCTTCAGCCAACAGCATGGATGCGTCTCCAACACTGATGAAAACACAGCAAACTGATTTCTGCTGAACTTGCAAATCGCTCCGCAGCTTCCGAAGCCGCGGTCTCTTAATGAAGGACCTGGTGATGGATGAAGGCACTGGTAACAAGAGGGCTGTCAGCGCTGGCCGGCCCCTCGGCAGGGGCACCAGGGGAGCATGTGCAGATTAATCCGACGTGGTCTGGCTGTTTAGCTGGGACGTTCCCACACACTCACTCTCATGAGACTAAGAACCGGCAGCGTCTGACCACTGGTCTTTCAAGTCAAAGACACTGGTGTGTAAAAACACTAGGAAGTGGTTTCCAACACTTTCCCAAGATGCCTCCCACAAACCCTCGAATGCTGTTGCCATTCTTGGGATAGAAAAGGAGCAGTTTCAAATATATATTTTTTCCCCATCTTTAAAGTTTTTATTATGGAAAATTTCCAACATGTTAAAAAAAGAGACAATCATATAACAACCCCCATGTGTCCCTCATCTCAGTATCAACATTGACCAGCCCACAGCAAATCTGGTTTCATCCAAATCCCCACTCACTTCCAGAACTGGCCTGAAGTAGCCCTCAGCCAGCCGGTCACTGCGTCGTCGTCTACGATCTTGTGCCTCTAAAAGACGAGGCCCCTTTCCCAGCGTAGGCACACTACCGTTATCAGACCAACACGCTAACAGCAACCAACAGCTAACAGGATTCAAATCTCCCTAATGGTCTCCTTTTTGCTTAAACGGTTTGTTTGAATTGGGTCCAAAGAGGGCCCGTTTGTGGCCACAGGTGGACACGTGCGCACTTACTTAGTGAAGAACTCGGATGCTGTGTCCTGTGGGCCCTCACTGCCTGGATTTCCTGTAAATGTTCATACTTAGATCTACACCTGCGTCCGCTTCTTCTGGGCAGATTGCTTCTCAGGTGGTGCGGCGTGCTTCTGCCTCCGTTCTTACTGACACCCCCCAACGCATTAACTCCTGGAGGCTGCAGGCAGGTGGGGGCGTCTCCTCTCATTCCCACCTCTCTAACAGATGGGGACGCCTCCGTACAGAGGAACCTTCGCTCACGGGGACCTTGCGGGCCGGTTCACACACGGGAGGTAAGTGAAACCTTACCTTGTCCCTTTAGTCACCGGTTTCAAAGGAAGTGTTTCCCTAACATCCTCCAAAGATGACTACTGAGCTTTTCTCTTTTCCTGGCTCCTCGCCCACAGGGGAACAGCCTAAGGAGGCAGGACAGCCAAGCATCATGGTGGCCTTGGAGAGACACGAACAGCAGAGCACACAGCGTGAGAAAGCAGCCTGGGGGAGGGAGCACTCCAGGGACCAGGCAAGTCCCACTCACCGTCTCCTGCAGCTCAGTGACCTCTGCGTGGGACTCACAACTGTCTGTCACCGTCTCCTTGTGACAATGCCTTGTGTCCCCATACGACACTGGTCTAAACCAGGAATGTGGCTAAAAATCATGTAAAACGAGTTTTCTCTGAGTACTGGCTATGATCTAAAACTTCAGAGGTTATATTAAAAACACGTCTGGAAGGAGAGAGAAAATATTGACCATCACTAGATACTGTACAGATATGAAGGTCTGAATATACATATACCACTTTTGCTTTAAAATGCATGACTTTTCCCTCTGTAATTATAAAAAATACTTACCAGTATTAATATAACGCAAAAGATAAAGTAAAAAAACCCCAAAGCTATGTCTTTTACAATCAATGACCACAGATTGTTCCGCTTACATGGCCTCAGTGAAACCAACTCATGTCCGGAGGCCACTGTAAATGGTTGAAAAACAGTCACAGAAACGTCCTGAATCGCAGGTCCCATCTTTCTGGGGTCACGTGACACAGAACTGAGGAAGAACAGCTAATACGCCACCCAGGTGTGCAGCAGATGGCACAGGACGCCGAGCGCTGTGCCTCGCACTTGCACCTTCCGCTCGGACCGCGCCGGCCACTCTGCTGGTGGCCTTTCCGAGCCTGTCCTCTTAGCTTCTCATTCCATTCATCTCGCCAAAGTGTGTCATTGGTTCCAGCTCTTCCCTGCTCACAAACACACAGCTTCATCGTTTACTAGGAAGTTCCAGGACACACTTTGATTTCACGCTTAAAAAAGCACCCTACTGCCCAGAAAGAGTAAGACAGTGAGACACCGCTCCAAGCTCCAAGCGCCACACTGAGCATGCACCACGACCACAGGGAAAGGACCCAGCAAGCCCGAGACAGAGGAAACACTCAGAGACATTCCTCACGATTGGTTTTGCGGGAGGAACTCACTCAGTCTTACTTCTCTGTTTTTCAGATTTTTCTTAACAAGTATGTGTTATTTATAAAAATAAACGGAAAACATTCTAATCCCCAGGGTACTTGTGCAGACCGTGTACGACACATTGTGCACTGCCGCCTGCGTGTTCTGTTGCTCTCAGTCTCCACCCTCCCTGAGGTGAGGGTGCAAGGAGGCTCCACACAGGACCCAGCGAAAGATGCTGATGTCCACGACGCTGTAGGTGCAACGACGCCGGATGAAAATCCGACCTGGCCAGGGCAGGAACAACCACTTTTTAATCACCCTCCTGAGTCTAACACAGCCCTGGAGAAAGGTGGACACGCCAGTTGCAAACGTGGCTGGTAGGAAAGGCTGTCAGTACTGTGTTAACGGCCTCGTCACCCTGGCTGCAGCATCCCAAGCGCTGTGAACCCATCCCAGAGGAACCGGAGGCTCTGGCGGGCTCGCCCACACCTCCGTGCCAGGCCTGGCCCTGCAGCTCCAGATGGGAGCAAGGCCTCGATGCTGCCACGTGGCTCCTATGCCCCAGCTCAGCCACCCCACCACCCCAACGGTGACTTAATAGTCGGCTTTGAGGACAGCACCCCACGCACACGGGCCCAGCTCCCAGCACGCGGGTAAAGTCTGCGTCTCCTGGGGCAGCAGCCAGCAGCCCCACCAAATTCACCGTGTTACCGACTCTTTGTGCTGTTCTGTCTTTCCCGCTGGACTTCAAATTCCCCAAGGCCCAGAGATTTGCAAGTTGTTCCCATCTACTGTCCTTCCACAATAAGAAAGTAAGTAAACATTCAAATCAAGATTTAACTATGCGATTCTTAAAATCCTAGCTTTAGCTGGCAGGGGCCTTGGAGGGTGCCGAGCCCTCAGTGAGGCCTGCACGTCTGGAAGTGCGTCCTCGGGCCCTGTCGTCAGCCACATCACTCCCCTCCTCATACCCTCCACTCTCCCCCTTCCTCACCCTCAAGCCACCGACAGGTCCACACACACTGCTACCCTGAGACCTTCGCAACTGCTCGTCCTTGGGCAGAACACTGCTTTCTGTGACCTGTACTTGGCTGCTTTTTTTTAAAATCAATTTCAACACAAATGTCACCTCCTTAGAGAGACTTCCCTCAAGCCCTACCAGGCACAGTTACAACAGCAAGAAAAGCTCCCACCCGCCTTGCCTCCCAAACAAAGCAAGTTTACAAAGTTTTCTTACCAAGTGAGGCACCGTGGGGATCTGCCTGGTGACAGAGGCAGGATGGCACGGATGAGGAGGCTGAAGCTCGGAGAGCCTGAGGAATCTGCCCCAGGTTCCGCGTCAGCTCGGTGGTTCCAGAGCCTGCCGCCACCATCACAGGCACAGAGCAAACATCAGTAATAGCAGCACGCCCGCCTTGCACTTTTGTCAGTGTTGTGCATGTCTCACCAGAATATTCTCCTCCCTTCACCCTACTACCTCAAATGCAGACTCACCCCTCCTCCAATTCCATCTGCTGCCAAGGCCGCAGCCAAATGTCCACTCCTCTAAACCCTTAGAGCCACGCGTGGACTAAACCAACATGTCACCCGACAACGTCTTCAAAAGGCCTTTGCACGACATTTAGCCTTCTTAAATATATGGGAAATCAATTCTTTGGGAAAACAAATTATCCTTGTATTCCCACCGTATTCTACACCTTCTCTCCTCTAGACCAGGAGCCCTGCCCCAAGGGGCAGGAACGTAGCAGTCAGCATGTGTCCCCTCCTGAGGCAGCCAGCGTTCATGGCACAGAATGCAACAAGACAGCAGAAGAGCAGTCACTTCCTATTCGTGGCACCATTTCTGACTCCCCGGCCAACACGACCCTGTCTTCGCCTCCTTGCATCTTGTTCAGGACTCAATGTTTTAAAAGTACTCTGACCACGCTGTCCCACTTCAGCTTCACATCCAAGCCTGGGACGTGGCTGTCACCATCCCTACCTTACAGGTGAGGAAACTGAGCTCAAGGTCCCTACAGGACAAGTGGGGAGGGACCCAATGCTCTGCCTCCTAGCCCTGCCCGCCCGGCTCCCCCAGCCATGACGAGCCATCTGTCCTTGAGCAGTGCCTTCCTTTGACTCCCAGACAGTGAGCAGGAAGGTGGAGGAAACTGCTGGATGGGCAGCCTTCCTCTCCTTCTATGCCCTCTACTCCTCATTACACTCCTGATCCACGAGGCTGAGCACTGCTTTCCTCACCAATCTCCACACTGGGCGGCCCATGTATAACCGGCAGATCACTCTCTTCCAGCTCACTGTTGACAATACACTAATTCACCGACACCCAGTGGAATGGTGGGAAATTCTTTTCAGTCTGACAAAGGAGATGGTTGGGTGGAGAAACAGGAGGAGTAAAGGCAGGCCGAGGGGTTCGCTGGTTCGGATCCTGGGTAGGGACCTATGCACTGCCTGTCAAGCCATGCTGTGGCAGGTGTCCCATATATAAAGTGGAGGAAGATGGGCAAGGATGCTAGCTCGGAGACAGTCTTCCTCAGCAAAAAGAGAAGGATTGGCAGCAGAT